AGGAAATAATCAATACTCTGGCTTCATGTGGGATTTAGTATCCAAACTGAGGCAACGATGAATGCTGATTGTACTGCAGATGTTTAAACTCCAACTTTAGATCACAAAGTCACTTTTATATTTCAGTTATCACATGTGTATGGCCTTGACTCCTCGTTCAAGTCATGCTAGCTTCACAGCTCTGTAGACAGAAGAGTAATTATTTCCAACCTTCAAAAATAAGTCTGTGTGGTAGTCAAGATCCTACCAACCGAGACCAAGACCTACCCGAGACCAGAGTGCTCAGAGACCGAGACAAGACGAAGACATATAGGGGTTGAGACCGAGTCAAGATCAAGACCAAGGCAGGGCGAGAACCAGACAAGACCTGGACTATAAATATCACAAATTGAAGTTATTCGTTCTTTTAAAAGAGGCATTTTCCTTCTAATCAGAGTAATGAAGTGGAAAAATAGCTGATCAGTGGTGGTCTTGATCGGTCTTGATTTAAAATCTGGATACCACCCAGTCTGAGGCCGAGACAAGACCGAGTAAAAATGCTTTAATTTCCGAGATGAGACCTTCAAAAAGTCGAGACCAAGACTGATTTCGAGTACTACAACACTTCATTTTTCTTTTTGATTTATTTTTGGGCTTTTTGTACCTTTATTGGAGAGATAAAGAGATAGGAGAGTGGAGAGATAGTGGGGAATGACATGTGGGAAAGGAGCCAGAGGTTACATTCAATGGATTTGAAAGACGCACGCGTAATCAAAACAGGCTGATACAGGATGAGAAGGGCAATGACATGCAACAAAAGCCAGACGCTACAATAACCGGAGAAATAAATACAATATCAGTCTTTATAAGAAGCCCCCGGGCGGACCATGGCAGTATTGTGTTCGCCAATGTTTTGGAAAATGTGTGAAAGGAGATGTCTCTGTTGCATGAGGAGGAGGAAAACGTGCCTGTGTTTCTTTGTGTTTTGCTTTGAATAGTTGAATCAAGGACTCTCATTAGCAGCAGGTACAGTCCCTCAGCTGGCTCTGCAACACGCTCTCTGATCATCAACAAATAAAACCGTGTTTGTCAGAGTGAATCTGTCCCTGCTGCTGATTTAATTTAGCTCCTGGAGGAACACAAATAAAGACCAGACACTAAAGAAACAAACAAACGGACACTGAGGAGACAGAGACTCTAAAGAAATCTCATACACTAAATAATAATAGAAACATAATAATAGAAACATGTACAAACAGAGCTTACTTTAACTCGGTGTTGACTTACAGATTAAGATCTAAAGAATCAGAATGACTGCTTTGCTTTTTGTCTGCTTCTTCCTCAGCAGCTGGAAATTGCTGAACTATCAGGAACAGTTTGGATGTGTAAACACATTGTAGCTGATTTACATTAAATAAACAAAAAAACATCCCTGAAAGTTTTTTTTTAAAGATGTATTTTTAGGCTTTTTGGGCCTTCATTTGAGACATAGGACAATAGTCAGAAATCAGGGAGAGAAAGAGAGAGAGAGAGAGAGAGAGAGAGAGAGTGGGGAATGACATGCCGGAAAAGGATTTGAACCTGGGCCGCCCGCTCGGAGGACTATAGCCCCCATACATGTGGCACAACTAACCACTGCACCACCAGCGCCCCCCACAGGAGGATTTTTAAGAGTAAACACTTTTCTTTTATGAAACACATTTTGGCTGTTTATGCAAAATGTGTATTTAAAAATGGATCTTTCACAACTGATTGATCCAAAGTGAGGCTGAGACTGTCTTTCCGATACGATGACCGCCATTATTGGAGCTCAAAACACCTCTTCAGAAACTCATGGGTGACGCACTGAAATTACGTTCATATTTTATAAAGCCTTGGCCTGATTCACAAAAGGACTTTTCCTTTTTGGCGCCCGTTAAGCTTGTGAAAAAAAAGTCGAAAAGAGTTTTAATTTACAAAACACATGCAAAGGGTTAAATGTAACCTGCCCCATGGGTCTGTTTGTGGAGTCTAAGCGCAGCCATGAGCAGCTGTACTCACAGGTTCACAAGATCACAGGAGAACTACAAGATCACGCAGCAATAATCAGAACATGTGTATACCTACGCACCTTCAAGGAGGGCCAATCAGATTTAGTGTACAGGTAACAGTGATGAGTAAGGACACACATGTTACACGGTGTCCAATGAGGGTCAACATTTGGCCGAGGCTCTCGTATACAGCATCTAGTGCTAATGATGAAGCAAATGATGCGTGATCATTGGAGATATTAAGAATCCATTATTAAGGGCGCTGGTGGTGCATTGGTTGGTGCGCGCGCCCATGTCTGGAGGCTATAGTCCTCAAAGCGGGCGGCCCGGGTTTGAATCCGGCCTTTGGCTCCTTTCCCGCATGTCATTCCCTACTCTCTCTCTCTTCCTGATTTCCAGCTCTAACCACTGTCCTATCTCTCCATTAAAGGCACAAAAAGCCCAAAAAAAAATCTTTAAAAAAAAAAAAAAAAATCCATTATTAGAGAATCAGGCCTTCAAACTTTGCATCCAGTGAAGTCGCCCCATGCTGGCAAAAAGTAATAAAGCAGGTTTGATGCTCTGGAGTATTTACTGTGTGGGTGTCCATGAATATGAGTTTAACTAACCTGAAGGAAAAGACTCCCTTCACCTTCGCTGGTTATTGGACAGAGTTTGTTTGTGTTCATTTCAAAGTGTCTCTGTTTTGACTGAAGCGTCCTCCTCACCTCTTGACTCTCCCTCCTGTCAAATGGACAGTTTTCATTTCCTGTGTTGTTACACACACCAGTCGAGTCCTGACAGCGTTTGTGTTGATCTCTCTCTCTCCAGACTCTTCTCATACGACGCCTCCGACCGCTGACTGACGGCGCTTTGGAAAGCTAATCGATGGCAGGGAAAACATCAGCAATAATCACTGCCGCCCAGAGGCCCGGGGAGCGCGACCCTGACGGAGACAGATCCCCGTCCGAGCAAGGAGGGCAGCGGTGATGGAGTCTGTCTGACAGACGGGGAGCTGCTGAGAGCTTTGATAAGAGCTTGGACGTAACCCGAGGCCTCTGAAGCCCGAACAATCAATCAGCCGCACGGATTCATTCGGAGAGGTGAGGGCACGGAGCTGCTGCTGCCATCATCAAACGTCTCCATCAACAACCAACAGCTTCATCCGACATCTTTCATCTCCAAACACCGAGCATGGAGGACAAATGTTGCTGCTCCACATGTTTCATGTGATGTTTGCAAAAAAAAAAAAAAAAACAGATTGTGTGAACATCAAATGAAAAATGATGTGGTGAATTAATGTCTACAGAGAGATTTGACTTTAATGATCACACAGTTCATCCTTCACCTGAACCCAACAGGTGTGAGATATATTACACATTATACGGTAATTTCATTTTTAATACAGCCTGTAAGTGATGGTGTTATTTGTGTAATCCTTTTTCAGTCTGGTCGACTGCTTCACTTAATCTTTAAAGGCATCTCTCAGGCATGGGCGGTTCTAGGCAGGGGCCAACAGGGGCCAGTGCCCCTGAAACACTGAGCTTGGTCGCCCCTGTGGCCACCCCTCCAAAAGGAAGAACCCCCCTAGTATTTGACTCAACAACCGGACTCCCAATCTAGTATTAAATACTGTTACTGAAACAAATATAAAACACAGTATTTTATGATGTGCGCTATTATTTGGCATAATATATATTTTTTTTAATTTTTTTAAAGCGATCATCTTTGTCTATTTTTCACCTGGGTTTAATGTTCCCCTCTGACAAAACAACTGGCCCCAGTTTGGTCCCCTCAGTAAAAGTGGTCTAGAACCGCCACTGCTCTCAGGCTACTGTTTCCAGTTTTAACTTTTTTAAATACTGAGCCTAGTTATTGAAGAAATTAGACAACATCATCCTTGAAACTTTACACTGGATTCCCTGCTCAGCCCAGCTAAATATTTTTATCTCAACATGCACCGTGGGATACGGAACATAATGAAGTGAAAACGTGAGATTCAAAGTGTGTCACAGTGATGTTTGAATCATTACAGCCTCAGTTTCTATAGATGCTCTGAATAATTTATTTCTTTATAGTAATAAACACACACACAAACACACACACACACACAGTCACAGTAATTAGATCAGAACGTAAAGAGCAGCAGATTGTGGAGTTGTTTAACAATCACGTCGGAGTTCAGGGAGAACATAAAAATAGTCGTTGGCTGGTAGATTTCTGTAATAATTCATGTTGTCAGGGCCGCTCGCCAACAACTGAGAGAGAATCTAGAGTTTCCCTCCGACACGAGAACAGACTGTTTACAGAAACATCTTCATCATCATACGGGAGGATTTCACCCGACAAAACACTCAAGGTTTAGAAACAGACGAGCTGATCTTCATAATGTAAGAAACAGCAGGAGGCGAGACGCTGGAAGGATTAGTTCATAAATGTGACTAAAAGCTGTTTGGTAAACAGACTGCATGATAAAAAACCTGCAAAGACAAGTAGAGGAGAGAGTATTCAGATCTTTAATTTCAGTGACACCACACTGAAGTGAGTTAAAGTACATTAAAGGAAGAATTTGATCCAGCCTCCTCTCTCCTCCAGAGACACACCTCCAAGCCCTCTCTACTCGCGTTCACACGGGAGTTATGAATTAGAACGCATCATAATTAAACACCATGAAGCGCAAAATTGTTCTTTGCTCGAGCTGCAATCACCTGTGTCCTGCATTGTTGTGTTAGCATGCTAATGTTAGCGCTCTTTAGTTAGCTCGAAGCTTCACATTGCAAAAAAATTGACACAGAATGACCGAGATTCAAAAACACTCCAAATAATTAGTGAGTATGTTCTTGTTCTCTCTAGTTCTTGACTAAAACAGCTTTTATACACAAAGGAAGGAGCCGGCCGTCCCGTCCATGTAAACACGGCTCTGACAACAACACAGCCAGCGGGACTCGAGCTTCTCACTCATTGTAGACAGTCACTATGACACACACACACACACACACACACACACACACACACACACACACTTTTCTTGGCCCCTTGGTGCCACTTTTCCACCGTGTTGTACCTCACAGGTCCCAGTGTGTCACAGCATGTGGATGGATTTGATACACATTATTGTAACCGGTGTGACGTCAGTTCGTGCTGAGAGAGAGAGAGAGAGAGAGAGAGAGAGAGAGAGAGAATCGGTGCAGATCCCAGCGCATCTTCAGACCCAGAGGCAGCAGCTGCACCTCTTCCTCCTCCCTCTCCTCCTCCTCCTCCTCCTCCTCCTCGCCTCTCCGGTCCGCGGGGCCACACACCCGGCTGGGAAACGTTCAACATGCCCGCTGAACTGCTCCAGCCGGGCTCGGTGTCGGTGTTTCCACTTGTGGAGGGATTTACTCGTACCAGCGGACGAATTCAGTCCTGATGGATCTTGCGCGCTGAGAGCTTGAAGTTAGAGGCTGAAACTGGACAACTTGTTATCAGGAGCAGGTTTCGTGTGTTCATGAACATGTTGTTGTGGGGGTCATCCCGGGAATCTGCTGCTGCCGGCTGCCGCTGCGCCCCGTGACGCGCCGGGGAGCGAGGCGAAGAAAAACACCCGGAGAGTCCGGAGAGGGAAAACTAAAACCTCTCTGCTGTTTCAAGGCTTCTTCGTTCAGGATTTGTCACCCCAGGCGCGTGCGTGGTTTCATATCCTCCGGGATGCCTCCCGTGTCTCGGCTCCGTCCTCCTCTGACTCGGCTCGGGATGGATGTTGCGCAGTGAGGGGGCTCCAGCCTGCGGATAATCACTCTCTGGACTTTTTTTTTTTGGCTCCTCGTGCTGCTCGTGGATCTCCCTCATGCAGCTCCTCCGGCTGGCCTGGGCTCTGACTGCAGCTGCGGTCTGCTTCCTGCTCCTGCTGCTCCTCCACCGCCAAGTCCTCCGAGAAGGTAGGCTAAGTCTGTCCGAATGCATTTACTTATGAGTGTGCGTAAGGTCAAAAATGAGCGTAAAACGCCTCTACAGGTCATAGAAAAGATTTTAAAATCGATTAAATAATCCCCTTTAATGATTGTTGATGTGCTGACCTGTGGACAGATACCGTTAAAATCAACATGTGCGCGCACTTGTGCCTGATTTGCGCACCGGTCTTCCTGTGTGTGTGTGTGTGTGTGTGTGTGTGTGTGTGTGTGTGTGTGTGTGTGTGGTGTGTGTGTGGGGGGGGGGGGGGCGAGAAGAGAACAGATAAATAACTTAAACCGATGGGGGTTCACATCGGAGGCCAGACCGGGCTTTATGTCCGAGATGGGGCGCACAGAAGGCGGACTGAGCTCCAGTGTGGGACCACTGATTTTTTTAATGGAAGGATCCAGAGAGACAGATCATGAGAGAGGAAGCATTGCGTCTCTCTCTCTCTCTCTCTCTCTCTCTCTCTCTCTCTCTCTCTCTTTCTGCAGACAGTCCTCATTTTCAAACTCAAGTTTATTCTATTTAATTCACAAATGAATTGCAAGTTTCTACTAAATCATATATTTTTATTAAAGATTAAAAGCATACCTGAAGGTAAATGTCATTAACATTACATATCTGATTGTCATGTTTACATACTTGTGTTCAATGGCAGACCAAAAAAAAACATATTTTGACCTCAAAATTTACTGCCCCTGTCCTCGTTACATGACTCTGGGGACAGGTACTTATTTGGCGTTTGGAATTTACAAAACTGGTTAAGAAAGAAATATGGACAAATTATTAGCTCAGGAAAGGTTGTACAAATAACAAATTGTTTTTGTAGAAGTATAAAAAACGGTAACTAAGGTTTTTTTAAGTGAAATATTTTGGCCTTGGGACAGAAAAAATTGACGTTTCTGTAGAATGATTCTAAAAGTCTAACCTAAAACCTGCAGTCAATTTATTTTCAAACAACAAACACTCCTAATCTTACATATTTCCATTTTACAACAAAAGGCTAAAGCACAAAAAACAACTCAAGTGAATAACTATGATTCCTGAATAATATGACAAAGAGATCAGAAACAACATCACAAGCAGCCTTATTAGTTGAGAATGATCTTTATTAAGATGATGCCAGAATAAACCTGGTTTGATTCCACAGGGACACAAATAAAAGTCCTAGGTATCCAATATTTAGGAATCTCTTGTTTTCAATTATTGAAAAATGCAGGAAAACTCCTGACCTGCAGTCTAAACTGTCTAAACTGCACACACACATTGGAAATGTTTTAGTACGGAAATTTTGCCAACGTATTTGTGCAAATTTAGACATTGAAGAGCTGAAATTTCTCGATGGATCCATTCCTCTCCAACGCACGCCTTTTCCTTTTGGTTTTTTAAACTTCAGTGGTTTTTGATATTAAATTAAGAGATAGTATTGTTTTAACACGAGGTATTAAAATTATTGTGTCAAGAATGAATAATAGGAAATGTACACACTAACAAGGCACCAAGCAGCACTAGTTTCACCAAATGTAATGATAGCATTTATACATGTTATAATTTGCTACTGTTGTGTTAGAAGTTAGGGGCAGCTGTGGCTCAGTTGGTAGAGTCAGGCGTTTCTTAATTGGAAGGTTGGGGGTTCAATCCCCAGCTCCTGCAGCTACATGACCTATGTGTCCTTATGATGGACACTTGAAACCTCTGCCCTCAGTTTGTGAATGTGTAGGTGCACTTTGAGTAGTCAGAAGACAAGAAAGGTGTTTTACAGGCTCAAGTCCTTTTATTATATTAGCCTTTATTTTCCCCCTGCTAAACAGTAGGATGCGCTATTTCTCCAGTCAGATGTCAGTAGACGGTTGTAGAAAACGAGGACAGCTACTGAGACTGCGGGATGATGTAAAAAAAATCTTCAGTAAATAACAAAAAAAAATTGAACAAAGGAGGAAATACTCCGTTTGTGTTTGTTTCAGGTTTGAATGTGATGAAGGAAACACTCTCCTCTTTACTCGACACAGGTCTGAGGCTTTCTTTTCTCGTCGAATCTTCATTTACATAATGAAATATTTCCCAGGTCTGCTTCCTCTGCATTTTGTTGTGCGTTATTTTTTGTCGATGCACAAACTTTTTCCAACACCCACGAGCGTAGAAATGTCTTTAATGAGCACGTTGAGGACAGCCATAAAAAGGTGGATGGAAAAACAGCATAGTGATAAAACAGGGAGCCGTTCTCGCTGTTCTTCACCAACTTTATTTCTTCAGCTGGATCAGCTGTTTAACACAACTACTGAGAAAGAAAGTCATCCCACTGAAATTCTTCGAGAATGAAGTCTCTTTTTGGTTTTCCTCTCTGGTAAGATGTGCCTGAAGACATTTCTGTTTTCAGGTTGTCCGTCATTTGTCAGTCTCCTTCTTGAGAACATGATACAGAAAAGTTGAGGAAACTTCTTCAGAACTGGAGAACAAAAAAAGATATTTTGGCTCAAAATGAATTGATTCAAAGTCATTGTGAACTTTGAACAAAAACAAGAACTCATTTTAACACAATTTCAGACAAATTTCTGAGGGGACAAAAGCAAACTCAAGCCATCCAGGGCATGAGGGGGCATGGTGACGAAGTTTGAATCTGTATTCGTTGGTACAGTGGATATGTCCTAATGTAGTATTGATATTAAGGCAAAAAACTGTCCTCATAGTGCTGGACTCTGTGGCTTCTTCTGCCATCTTGGACATGGTGTTAAAAATTAAACTGTGACGTCTGAGGCATCCTTTCTACGTCATCTCCTGCCTCCTGCCTCCAGTACTACGGTCAAAATATCTCACTGTTAGAGGCATGAGAGAGAGCAACTGTGGAAAATGTCAGGGGTAGGCTGTCCTGAAGATTTTCTTATTTAATTCTAATAATCCCGAGGGGAAAGTGCAACTGTTCAATGTGGTATAGTGCGACATGCTACAACACAGACATACTGTAGGGTTAGGCCTGGAGGCACAAACCTATCAGGACACATCCTGACTCAAGCTGTTGGGAGTATGCAGCCTTGCTCCAGGGCACCTTGGCAGCACGCAGGAGGTGAACTGGCAACTCTCCAGCAACCATACCAATTTCCAGACTTGGGCTGTAACAGGACTTATTTATCAACCAACCCAAGGCCTTGGCCACAGACGGAGCTACTTCTGCCCCAGTTTTGACATGTAGGCATGTATGAAAGGGGTGATAGGAAATGAGTAAAATGTCCTCTGTCATGTTCAACCTGTCAAGGAACAATGATTGAGATCAAACTCCCTGTTAATGTCTTTGTTTGTTTTCAGGGATATTCAATATTTCCTGTGTAGATATTTTTCACATAGATTGTAAATAAGCTTGGACAAAGTCTCAGTGACATCACCTTGGTTTCTGAAGCAGACTTTTGATGCTCGATGGTGGTGGTGGTCATATTGGAAATGCTGTGTCAAAGTAACTTACAATCAACAACATTAAAATATTATTTGCAGTTTTTTTTGTAGAATTTTGATTGAGTTGTATTCTTTTTTTGTTTCTTTGTGTTTGGTCCATTAATATCCCTGTGATTGAAAACACTGTCTCTGTATTTACCAGCAGGCTTAACGTGCGGTGAGGAGTGTTTGTAGTCCTCTGCAGTTATCCACATCTTCAGCTCCATCTCTGCAACACGCAGACTTTGTTTTAGTCAGTCATGCTCAGATCAGAGTCCAGATAAGTCTGTGAACGAACAGAAAACGTAATGTTAGGATGTAAAGTGCTCAATGATCCGGGAAGAGGCTTTTTGTTTAAAGAGGACAGCAGTGAAGTAAAATCAAAGAGCCTGTGTTTCTCTCCTCAGCAGCTCTAATGAGCCTGTGTGTAGCTCGTTACAGAGCGTTCTGTAATGTTGAATTTAACCCTCGGTGAGACTCTGCAGGAGAGCAGCTTTAATAACCTCCAAATGTTTCCAAATGTGACATGAGGACACTGATTCAAAGGCTTACTGCCAGTTTGATAATTTTTAGACTCAGTTTACAAAGTTTACAACATCAATGAAGTCAGGCAGTCCATCCATCCCTTCATACTTCCATCCATCAATTTAATCATAGTTATGTCCTTATATTTGTCCAGCAATCCATCCATCCATCTTTGTAATCATACTTCCATCCATCCATCAATTGAATCATCCATCCATCCATCCATCCATCCATCCATCCATCCATCTATCCATTCATCCATCCATCCATCTATCCATTCATCCATCCATCCATCTATCCATTCATCCATTCATCCATCCATCATCCATTCATCCATCCACCCATCTATCCATCCATCCATCCATCTATCCATTCATCCATCCATCCATCCATCCATCCATCTATCCATTCATCCATTCATCCATCCATCCACCTATTCAACCAACCAACCATCCATCTATCCATTCATCCATCCATCCATTCATCCATCCATCCATCCATCCATCCATCCTCTACTTTGCCCTACCCTTTGTATATATAATGAATATATTATATGCAGTTACTGATCAAGAAGCCATATTTGAAGATTTGAGGTTTTCACAGCGTTACAACTTTGACCATTCAGATCGCTGCAAAAAACATCGATAATTCTTCCTTCTTGCTGTGATCTGAAACAGAAACTCTGCAGCTTTTTGTTGGCAGCTGCTTCTGACTCTCCTCCTCGATGCAGATGTTTCAGATAATCAACACTGCTCCAGGAAATCATCAAATCCAGCAGCTGCTCATTCAAATTCAACATTCAGCCGTGCAGGTAAACATTTCCTGGGAAACAGGTGAAATATCAGATTTCATTTTTTTGTATTTTCCCCATCTTAATGAAACCAGATGAATGGTTCATCACAGAAATGTTACACACAGTGAGATGTGAACACATGTACAGAGACACACAGTCATTAAAACCCCCGACAGAGACCAAATGATCCTTTAGAGAACATAAAGAACAGTTTGAGGAGGCGGTGCCTCTCATCGTTGTCGT